ATGTAACTAATTTTAACACTCCAGACAACAAACTGAAATCAGTACACCCTAAATATAAAAGGATTATCTGTATCAGTGCACAAGTTATCATACACATGCGCCCGTTCAAAGGCCTCTTCCCCAATATTATAAATCATATCCTCTAACCAATCTTCATCCATATTTGCTTCATCATCAAGATTATTATCAACTTCCACATATTGAAACATACCACTATGATTTTTCAATCATTTACCATGCTAAATTCATATCGTATAATTCTTGCAAATTCCATCACAAGTCAAGTGTTTTCTTATTTCAGTAACACTTATTTTCCTCTCATTCAAGCAATTTATACAAGGACAATAGAACCTTCCACTATTGTCAGCAACATTTTTTTAGTAAATTCCAAAAACTCCTTCACACCATTATCATACACATCACTTGTTCATCTAACATTCATCCAACTACAATCTATATGTTACTACCTATAGGAGAATAATACTAATGTGCATGTTATTGTTTTCAAACAATTTCAAAAAAATGTAAATTCCTAATTAATCTATGATTTTAAATAATTTAGAGAAAATAATATATTTAAAAAAATTTCAGCAGAGTCTCCTCTAAAAATTAGACCTTTCAAAAATTTTACAAGAGAAAATTTATAATTTTATATCAAATAAATAATCACATGCAACTTCTAAAGTCTCATGAAGCCACTAACAGCACTCCCAACAACAATTAATATCAATAAAATTTTGGGATATTTTTCTTAAACATTAGACATCCAAAAATAACAATAACAATAATAACAACAATTTTGTATAAAAATAATAATAAAAGTAATTCAACAATAATTTTTTAAACAATAATTAAAAATAAAACTATAATTAAATATAATTAATATATATAAATTAATAATTAAAAAAAGGAAAGGTACTTGGAGCAATGGAAGAAAAGTAACAAGGAGGAGAGCAATGGAGGAGTAACAATGAGGAGGAGGAGGAGGAATGATAGAGGCACAAGGAGGAAGGGGGACCGAGACGAGAGAGGAGGAGGGGAGGGGGTGGGGTTGGCTAGGGAGGGTAGGGTGTAGGGGGCAACAAGGGAGGGGAGGGGGAGCACGAGAAGGGGGCAACAGGGTGAGGGGAGGGGAAGGATAGGGGCTAATAGGGGAGGGGGGGGAGGAGGATGAATGGAGAAAGGGGGTAGTTTTTTTTTTTTTTATGTTGATTTGAATAAGATTCAATAAAAGGAACACATCACCTGCTATTGAAAGTCCTATATTGACTTTAAATATTACAAAAATAACACTACCTCTATTTTTAATAACGGGTGCGTTTTAGTTGATGTTAAAAGTACCATGTAAAATACAAATTTTAAACTAGTAAATATTTACAATAATCTTGTTTTTATTCTTGATAATTTGGGTGAATTAGATTTACTTGGGCTAACCAAACTTATAAAAAAAGCTTAAATAGTCAAGTCTGACATGAAAATCTTTGAGCTTATTCGAGTCATCGTGAATACCTAAATTGTTGAATTTCTTTTAACTTTTTTAAAACAAATTTCAATTTTTTTCTTTAAAATTAATTATTTTTTATTTATACAAGATATAAATATTTTATTACTTAAAAAAATAAAAGACTCAACTTTTTTATAATACAAAATTTATGGGTTATAAAGTTTAAAATAAATATTTAATTATATTTTAAATATTATTTTAAGATATTTTACATATTAAAATTAATAAAAATATATTTATAGGAATTTTTTATTTTTTAAATATCTATAATAATATAATGAAATATATGGTCAATTAGTATAGAATGGAATAAAATATAAAAGATTAATTAATATTCACTATATTTTTATATTTTTTATCAGGCTTAACCTGAATTTTTTCTAATCTATTTGTGTTGGCTCAAATAGATTTAAACTTAAAAAATGTAATATTTTGTTAAACCAATTTTAATTTTCTTTTTCTTTTTAGTTTATTTATGTTAGTTCATCAAATTTGGCCTGAATTATGAGTTTTATGCATAAGTTTCTTTTACTATACTGAACAAAATAATGCTCCCTCAAAATCACAACATATGACAAATTTTAAAAATCTTACTTGGTTTAAAATATAGTAAGGTATTAGATAATTTTTATAATTATATTTTCAACTATATCCATACTTTATTTATTATTGTTTTTAAAAAATAATGTATTAAAAATTTAATATCATTATTAAAATATTTATATAAAATATTTATAAGGATCAAATTAAAAAGATGTAAATATTTTAAAAAAATTAAAATTTTAAATAATATTTTTTAGAGAACCGTAAATTAATTATTAATATTTTATATTTGGATTTGGAGGCAGTATATACGTGTGTGTATATATGTATATATTAACTGTTGAGTTGCTTTTGTTCATTTGTGGTATCAAACGGATAACGTGGATGCTGCAGATTTCCAGAACTGTCCTATCGGACATTAATATTTTTTATAAATCAGATATTAATATTTGAGCTTTAATTTCATATTTATTGTGGTGTAATTAACATCGCAATTAATTTAGCCATACAACTTGAGTGTTTTTGAATGCGTTCAACCATCGTCAATATCAATATAGTCCCTAAGTACTGTGTGTTTGTATAGAATATTTTTTACAAACTTATTTTATTCTTAAATAAAAAAAGTATGATGATAATTTTAAATAATTAAACAATTTTACTCTTATTATTTTAAAAAAAGGAAGAGGTATTAATAGTGTATTTTACCAACAACCATAGTATTAATTGTAACATTATTAAATATAAAATTGAAAACTTGTCATGGTTTTATGTTCTTTCCACTACATAACAATTTTTTTTATCATTTTGCAGGTTTTGATGAAAAATATCTTATATATAAAAACTTAAGAAGCTATGTATGTTATGAAAGGATTTTTAGGTAAAATTGTTCAAGAACATGTCATACCCCAATTCTTTTTCAGTGCAATATTCTTCTTTGGCATTTGAAAAGAGCTCGACATTGAAACTACCATCAGTAAGGGTTAGTTTTGACATTTAGTTAACACGAAAATTACATGAAAGGATCATGGAAATTGTAGAAAATCACCTATAAAATTATATGTAATTACTTTACGAGAAATTAATATTGATTGATTAATTTTTCCAAACTAAAAATAAATACCAAGAGACAAACATTATTTCTTTTCTATATAGAAGATCACAATATTATTTTAATCAGTTGATTGGCTACCAGTTTGCCATATCACCATTGCTAACAACATCATGAGTAATTAAAAAATATTATATTTATTTTAACAACATGTTATTATTAATGCTATAGTATATACTGATTTAAATATTAATATTATTTACACATCTTCATGCAATTTAAAAGTCAAAGATTTGCAAATTCCTCAGAAATTAAAACTTAATTAGAGTATCTTTGATTTACAAATGAATTTTTTTTACATTAGTTGTAAATTTTTAAAAGGGAAATTATAAAATTTAGATGAAGATTGATAATTTAGGGGCTATTTCAAATATAGCTTATGTTATAGGATCAAACTAAAAAAATAGTCCAACATTTATTGTATCTTACATTATGGCCAATTTATTATATTTATTAATGATATACCATATAAATTTTTAAATTTTTAATGATAAATATCTTATATATCAATTATAAATTTCTTGTACATCAATATAAACTGACCATACCCCTAAATTTTTGGACTATATTTTTTGGGCACAAGTTTTTTTTTCAAATGAGCCAATTGATCCTATAATTAATTTATTATGCTATTTTAATTTGCAATTAAATTAATTTGGCAAACACATTCAACTATAAACCTCAGACACATTAGTTGAATTATTAATTTTTAAAAGAGACCAAGGGGCAATTAGTTCCGCTAATCAAGAGAGTTAAATTAGCTTATCTTAAGGTTTTGAGTTTGAATTTTAAGATATGCAATCGCATTAAATAGATATGCCAAAGGCATCCCTAAAATACCCATGAGACTACCACATTGTTGGGTTGTATGGATGAAAAGTGGTAATACTTTTAGGTCTTTTAGGATACTAAGTAATGAAATTAAAAAAAAAGAGAAATGAATTTATAAATTTTAGAGGAATATTTATAAATAATAATATTTTAATTGTTAAACATTAAGGTATTAAATTTTAATAAAATATTATAAAGACAAACATGTTATTTGTTAATTATTTATGGGTGTTATTGTCAATAATGGTAACTCAATAACACTCATTACAGTATATCAAAGTGTTTGGTGAAAATGTAATGTTAGTCTTTTACATGGAAAATAAATGACATTTGTCTCTTGATTTTTTATTGATAATTTAAAGAGCTTAATCATTATTAATTTTTTTATACAATATTTATTTTTAATTTTTTATCATTTTTGAAATTATTTTTATGTTATTTTGAAATCAATATCGGTTAAAGTTAACTTTTTTTTAATTATAAAAGCAATATTGCAAGTAAAATGGGGCTATGTAGTATTAATAAAATCTTTAGGGTTCTAGATAGTGTTTGGGGAAAATTTATCTTCAACCCATTATAAAAATAAAATCAATATTGTTAGGAGCTATTCCACTGCAAATATGTTGCATCTGAATTAAATATCCCACAAAATGGGAAAAACTATTCTTTGTTCTCTTTCCAAGGAGATCCGCTTTCTCGTGGATTCAAGCAACACAATTTTTCTGGCTGGCCCACATAAGCTCATGGATGACATCACAGTGACGAAATAATAACCAAAGCAGAGCTTCTCTTTTTGTCTAATCGGGTACTTCATTGTATTGAAAAACTCTTGAATAAAATAGCATTCTTCTTTTCTGATGCACACTTTTAACTAACATGCATATGCTTTCTCAACTTTTTTCTGCCAAATTAAAGAGTTTGATATTTTACTGCAGCATTTTAGGAATTCAATTCTTAAGTGCTCTTCTCATTAAAACAGAAGAAAGTCTTCCTCTCCCACTCAAAATGTTTTGATGGTGGTGGAAGAAAACCACAAACAGAGTAATATTTCATACTTAGGTTTCACACACAACAATAGCCCCAAAGTTTTCCTCCTTTTTCCTCCTCCCAACTGATTTAAAGCTCCAAACCCACCCTTTCTTTGTTTCAGTTCAACTTTACTTTAATTTCTCTCCCTTGTTAGCTTCTTCTTCTTCTTCTTCAACATGCCTTCATCAGCTGCTCTGCAATGGCTGAGCCTTGTGGGCATGATATGGCTCCAAGCCATAAATGGCACAAACACTAACTTCCCTGCTTACTCTTCTCAGTTAAAGCTGCTTCTTTCCATATCCCAATTACAGCTCAATAACTTGGCCTTCGCTTCTGACGCCGGCAAACTTCTCGGCTGGTTTTCCGGCGTTGCCATCGCATACCTTCCTCTCTGGCTTGTCCTCATCATTGGCTCAACACTTGGGCTAATAGGTTATGGTCTGCAATATCTCTTCATCACAAATCATATCTCTTCTCTATCCTACTGGCATGTCTTCTTCCTCACTGTTCTTGCAGGCAATAGCATTTGCTGGATTAACACTGTCTGCTATGTTGTCACCATCAGAAACTTCCCATCTGATCATCGTCAAGTTGCTGTGGGATTATCAACTAGTTATCAAGGATTAAGTGCAAAGATTTATACCAATATAGTTGAATCTGTTTCCCCACATAAAAAGGCTAGAACTTTTCTGTTTCTCAACTCTGTCACACCTTTAATAGTTAGTCTCATGGCAGCTCCTTTGGTTAGAGAGATTAAAACCACAAGATCTGCACATATTGGTCTTGGGTTTATGATAATGTTTGTGATTACAATTGGAACTGGGATATATGCTGTCATGACCAGTTTGCAATTTGTGTCAGAAAAATTGTCTCCATTGAGCAGTCTGTTTGGGATTCTAGTGACCCTTTTGCTTCCCTTGTTAGTTCCAGTTACAGAGAAGGTTATGGAATTAGTGGGATCATGGCAGAGAAACAGAGAAAGGCAAAGAGTGTACCATTTTACTTCAGAAGAGAACACTAATAATGAAGTCAGAACAGAGGATGAGGTAAAAGATCAGGAGGAAGAAGAAGAAGATCATCAGAGCAGAGAAGAGATTGGAGTGAAGTTGATGTTGAGAAGAATAGATTTCTGGTTATATTTCTTTGTGTACTTTTTTGGTGCCACAATTGGGCTGGTGTTTCTGAACAACTTGGGCCAGATTGCAGAATCAAGAGGCTGTTCTGGAACTTCATCTCTGGTTTCGTTGTCGTCTTCTTTCAGTTTCTTCGGCCGTCTCATGCCTTCTCTCTTGGATTACTTCTACAGGTAACTTCTAAATTCTCATTGCCCTTTCGCTTCTGATCCTATTTTTTGGTTTAAAAAATTATCTTGTGATATAGGTTTTAGAATTGTTTTGTAAATGAAAATAAAATAAAAATCTGTTTAATTATATTAATTTAAAAATAATTTTTGGTTTATGATGAAAATTGATCAAGTTAATCATAATTTTTCGATAGTAAAATATAGTGTGTTTTGAAAATATAAAAAAATAAATAAAAATAATTTTGTTACTTTTTTTATTTTTTAAAATAGAAAACACTTTATGAAACCATACACCACCAATTGAGCCTTGATTCTCCTCCATCCTATCCAACTTCATAAATTGCATTTATCTTGTCATTTAAAGCTACAGATGTCTCTCTATGTGTTAGTTGATCTACATTAATAAATTCATCAATTGTTGAATTGAATTTCCAAAACATTCTTCACAGTTTTTACTTAATAAAAAAAGGTAATTTTTTTCGTTAAAAAAGATAAATTAAACCGATCATTTTTAAAAGACGTGTATGTCATTATGTTATTTGTATTTTGTAGGAATCTTCCACTCCACTGGATTTTTTTTTTTTTATTATGGATTCAATTTAGTTTGTGAGTTTTTCAGTCCATTCATGTCAGAAGATATGAACCATACATTTACATCTATTGATTGTTGTTATGTCATGTGGCATCGGTTACATATATTTACTTAAGCCTGTGGCATCACAGGAGAGATATTATCAAAATTCAATTCAACTTGTATGATAGAATCAATAGATTGTTAAATCAGTATTTTAATCTGATCACTACTAACCCTTTAATTAATACTTTAACTGATTTGCCGTAGTTTTCACCATCTCATGATGAACATTTTATATATGGATTCGGTGCGGTCATGAGTTTTCAATCCAATCCAATCAAAAAAAATCTCAACCGTTTATTTTTATCTGCTGGCTGTCGTGGTGTGATGTGACAAGAAGCAGATAAAAACGGACGGTTAAGGTCATGATAACATGATTAGACCAAAAGTTAAGGCCCACAATGAATCAAAATCTGACTCTCTCTCTCTCTCTCTCTCTCTCTCTCTCTCTCTCTCTCTCACTCTTATATTGACATACAGACGTGAACATACTTTTCAGGGGAAAGTCTGCAATATCAAGACCAGCTTCAATGGTGGCATTAATGGCGGCAATATCAGCATCATTCTTTCTACTTCTGAATCAAAAAGACATGTCTTTGTACACAAGCACAGCCATAATAGGAGTTTGCACTGGGGCCATAACTTCCGTAGCAGTGTCCACAACCACAGAATTATTTGGCACAAAGAACTTCTCAGTGAATCACAATGTGGTTGTGGCTAACATCCCCATCGGTTCCTTCTTGTTCGGCATATCGGCGGCGATCATTTACAGGCGAGAAGGGGACGAGCTCGGAAAATGCCTCGGCATGGCATGCTACAGAACGACCTTCATTTTGTGGGGTTCGCTTTGTTGTTTAGGGACTGTCTTGGCCTTCATTCTCCATGCCAGAACTCGCAAATTTTACTCGCTAAAGCGTTAATTAATTAATAATACACATGGGATTTTAATTTACTTGTGTTTCATATATATATATATATATAGAGAGAGAGAGAGAGAGACGATTGTAGATGGATCGCTGATGATCAGAATCAGAACCAAGTGATCTAACTATACATGATGTTATATTATAGATACAAGTCGTAAATGTATTACCGACCATGTTAATTGTTTGATTTAATGCTGCAATATAATGCCATCGTATTATAACGTAACAAAATCACACATTAAAAATTAAAAGATAAACTATAAATATATATGGACTCAGGTCAGACTCGTAAGTCCTATTTTAAAAAAATTAAAATAAAATTAAGTACTATAAATTAAATAAAATATTTTAAAATTAAAAAAAAATTAAAATCCTCATATTTTTTTAAAAATTAAATAACACACATTTAAAAGTTTGGTAAGAAAATTCAAATCTTTGTTAAGAAAAAACAGTTCATTTTTTATAAATAAACAACATGATAATTATAGAAAAAATATCAGAAATTTTATATTGCACACTAATATTTATTAAAGTATATTAAATTAATTTTATAATAAATTTAAATTAATAATAATATAATGTATGTAGGATTAGGGCTTTAGGCAAACAGATCCTTCTTAGCTTCAAAACCAAAAAAAAAAAAAATAAAGATATAACCGAGCTTGAAGGACCGCCCGAGCCCAAGTCTTTTTTTACAGGGCTCATCAGGACTAGCTTTCAAGCCCGATTATTTTAAAAAAAAATTAATTTCAAATCCCAAACTTTTATTTAAATAGGACCATCTAGGTCCAACTCTAAAATTTAAGAAATATTGAACCAAATGACTTAAGCTATTTTGGTGAAGTATACTATCCTTAAGCATGCTTACAAGTAAGAAATCTAACCAAAAAAAAATGAAAGATTAAAAAAGAGAGGAGGAGAAGAAATTGAATAGAACTGAAACTTTTGATACTAAAAAAGTACAAGCTCAGACAAAAAAAATTAAAAAAGAGGAAGAAAGTAATAGAGGAAATATTAAAATAAAAAAGAAGTCTCTATTTTAAATATTAAAAAATATATTATAAATATATAAATTAAGAAAGTATCCAACCAAATGATCTAAGCTATTTTGATGGAGTATATTATTCTTATTTATACTTACATATAAGAAATCTAATACATGGCTATAGTTTCATCTCAGGGTTCATGAACCATTAATTTGTGGCTGAATATATACATACGTGGGTGTACAAATATGGATCAATTAATATTCTAACTTTTTATAATAAATAGGTTTCGTATTCGATTTTACTCAGTGTTTTGGCCCAAAACACAAATCTCTCTCTCTCCCCCATCCTCTCTCTACGCACGCGATTAGATAGATGCACGTGTAAAATTATACAGTTAAGTACAAAGACAAACGTCTGCTTCGTAGCTGGACGGTCGAGTATCAAAAAAATTTTACATGAACCTTCCTAACACATTAGGTGTTTTATATTTTGTCCAATAAAAAATGATAAAATAATTATAAATATAAATTAATTTTTTCATTAACATGATAAAAAGAAAAAAATAAGAAAATAAAATTTATTCTAAAAATAAAGTTATTAAAAATAATGGTACATAATTTTTCATTTGAGTGAAGTGATGTAATCTTATTGAATAAATATTTGATATGATAAATGAATAGATAATTTTATGAATATATGGATGAATATATCGTCACTTGAAAATTTGAGAAGAACAACTTGTATTCATATTCATATTCAATCACAGTTGACATTCTTGTATTCAAAAGTAACATTTCTTAAATTCATAATGATTATTTCTAAATCACAAATTATACATGAATTTATGAGACTATTTATTTATTCGCAATTGAAATTTTATGAATTCACTGTTAGCCTTTTTAAAATTCATAAATGATTATGCTTAGATTTATAAATAATGATATATAAATTCATATAACCATCTATCCATTCCCAATTAACTTTCAATTGATTCACTTATAATATTATCTAAATTCACAACTAACTTTATTTAAATTTATAAATCACATTTCATTAATTATTTTAATAATTATTTATTTTTTAATTATAATTAAAGACTATGATCCTTTGAGGAATTTTAATAATTTGTGATTTTCAATTATTATTAATATATTTGCAAGCTCCCTAATTATCATTTTCCCTTATAAATACAACTTATTAGATTCTAAACAAAATGTTGGAAAAATGTAAAGAAATGTGCTTCAAAAAAAGTAAAAAGTGTTTGAAAAGATTGTTGTTATTTAGAGAGTAACCTTAGGAAATAGTGATTTTTTTATCATTTTAATTATACAAACTATTTTTTTTATCTTTTTATTTTTGTGAATTACTTTTTCAATCCTATTTATAAAGTGTTTTGCAAATACAAAAAAGTTGTCCTTATTATAGGATGTTGATTAAAAAACTGGAATAATATTCTCATTTTAATTTACCTTACATGAGAAAGCATTGCCTATATAACTAGATGGATGACATCGTTTCCCTCTTTATTTCTAATAAGAGTATAATTAAAAAGTTGGGACAAAAATAACAGAAAAACAACATATTTCTTAAAACATGTGAACGATGCATTAAATGTTATATATGTATATTATATATATATGTATGTATGTATGTATGTATGTATGTATGTATTCTATATATATATGTGTGTGTGTGCATATAATATTTTGGTTCGAGAGGAGTAATTAATTGTGCTAATTCATTTTTAGAATTTACGTGCCCAATATTCAAAATTGGACCTAAGTATATAATGATTCTTTTGAAACAATTTATGTATATTTGACAACTATTAACGGTTATTTAAAAAAAAATACATAATATAGTTGATTGAATGGTTCATGAAAATCAATACTAGAATAATTTATATAATGGTTGTTTTTAAATAACCATTATAGAGACTACAACTACATAACAATTAAAAACTGCTATATAGTTGCTTTTAGACTATATAGTCACAACATATAGTGATTAAAAACAGTTATATGTTGACAAATATGATTGCTATATATTAGCTTCTTCTTCTTCTTCTTCTTCTTCTTCTTTTTTAAGTAGCCATAAGGGCAACTATGATCAATTGCTGGTATATTAAAAATATCTAATATTTATAAATAATTATAATTTTATCATCTCAAATTAATGTGAATAGTAAAGAGCGTGAGGCTCGTGTGTTGTGTAGCAAACTTATTGGAAAAAGGTTTGAATTTTACCCTCAATAACCTGAAGGAAATTAATTTTCACTGTCATTGAAGTATACTCATGGTGCCTAACGAAAAAAAAAAATCATATTTTTATGTACTATTTCTCTTTTATGGCTGGGATTAGGATGGATAAGCGTACGAGTGATGAATGTGATATATGATGATGATAGGTAATTAATTCGAAAGAGCACGCCTCAACTTTTATATCCACTCACTAATTAATATAATTTCATTGAAATTCTATGTGCAATCTTTTATTTTTTCTCATATAAAAAATACAATGTAATTTTTTTTGAATATACCCCTTCATATATCTTTGATTAGGTGAAAGTAAATTTTGATGATTGTATAAATAAAATTATCACTATCAATGTTAATTCAAAAAAAAAAAAGGACCATGCACGTGATTCAATCCAAATTAATCAGGGTCTAATGTAATTTTCAAAAAATGGCTTCCATGTCAAAAATTAATTAGGGAAAATTATTTTGTTCTTTTTTTTGGGATAAATAAGCAAATTAGCCTTTAAATTATAGGTTCAAAAATATCTAAGACCTTAAATTCATCTTTTATGGAAATATCTTCCTTTAACTTTTAAAAATTTTACAATCTATTTTTTTTATTAATGAAAATTAATTTTTGTCTGTTAATCAGCTAAAAAATGACTGAAAAGGACTTCAAAACTAATAGAAAATGACCAAAAAAAATTTTGGTCATTTTGTGCAATTTTTTTGTCATTGCTGTAATATTTGGGTGCATTTTTATAATTTTTGAGATCTTTTTATATAATTTTCTGGTAACTAATAGTTAAAGTAAATTTTGTTAACGATAGGGCTGAAATTATACCATTTTCAAAAGTTGAAGGAAAATATTGCATAAAAGATGAGTTTAAGGTCTCAGTTTGCCATGCACTTTTAGACTTATAATTTAAAGGCCAATTTACTCATGTACTTTTTTTTTAACTTGAATTAAGGGAAAAATTATATGGTTAAATCTTAGAAAATGAGACCACATAATAAATATTAAAGTGGTACCTTATTAAAATACTATCATGTTATCATGTACAAAGAAAACATGTAATCTTAACTCATCTAAAACAGTATCAAACATAACAGAATATATATAATCAACGTCATTGTATTCTCCAAACTTTCGGTCTTGAGAATAAGAGTGTTTGAGACGTAAAGATAAATTAACAGACCAATTATAAAGATGGTTCACAAAATAAGTGAAGGGTTATATCCACAAGAAAGGATAATGTCATTATAAAGAAAGTGTCATCGTCGTCCCTCACTGGATTATGGCACCTAATTGCCTCAAGACACCCATATGAATATGACACAATTTATATATGATCTTAGAGTTTATTTAGTTCAAATTACCTAACTTTTTGGGAAGTTATCTTTTAAAGTAGTATATTTATGCTTCCAATTTCTTGGAAGTTAAGGTTTTGTAGAATATCGATCTGATTGTTTGCTTCATTTCTATATAGATATATACTTGTCAAAAAGTAAGCTAGTTATTTTTTTAATTAAATATGATACTTTTTAATGTTAATAACAAATACATATTTTCAATTAAATTTTATTTTACACTTCATTAAAAAATATAAGGTATTTTTTTAGGTTAAATGTTCAAAAATATAAGATATTTTTAGTTTTTTTACCAACAAACATTTTAGTTTTTCAATATGTAAGTGATGATGTTTTTTTTTTTCAAAGGAAAAATGATATTAAAAACCCTTCAAATGATATAAATGATAATTTAATCTTTCAAAATATTATAATTTCAATGAAGTTCCTGAGAACATCTTTATTAATAACTTTTTTAGTGAAAAGATTATTTTATCCTTATTAAAAATAACAAGCCTCAATCACAATTTTTATTTAAGAAATCACAACTTTTATTTTATGAATTATAAGAGTTAAACAAGAAATTACAACTTGTTAAATATAATTTTTGTTACTAAAAAAACTCCCAATAACAATTTTTACTTAAGAAATAACAAATTTTGTTTTATGAATTGTAAAAGTTGAACAAGAAATCATAGTTTGTCAAGTGTAATTTCTATTATTAAAAAATAAGTTCTTAAAATAACAAATCTCATTCATAACTTTTATTTAAAGAATCGCAACTTTTCTTCAAAGAATTACAAAAATTGAACAAGAAATTATAAATTGTCAATAAGGATAAAATGGTCTTTTCAATTTAAAATTTATTGATTAAGAGGTCCCTAGAAAATTCAATGAAATTATGGCATTTTAAGGTATTAGATTATCATTTATATAATTCAGAAGAATTTTATTGTAATTTTCTTTTTCAAAAGGACAAGATTTACATTCTTAGCTTTATATATTTAATATATCAAATCATGACATGTAAATTTCAATGTATCATTAATATTGATAAACAAGATTTTGTTATAGAATAAAGGATTAAGGGTAAAAAAATGTCCCTACAGTATATATGAAAGGTCACAAATGACCTTAAAGTTAACTATGAGTCATTTATATCCCTCAATTATAAATTTTTTTTTCTATCACCCTACCATTTACTTGATATAGCAGCTCTATTTTCTTACTATAGTGTACGTGCTTGTTTAACCCTACATGCACATGTGGACAAGATGAGAGACATATGGTGCTGGAAAACCAAAAAAAAAAAGTCCTTCTTTCTCCTCCATCCTATTTCTACAATTCATCATAGGACACCCACCTTAGACCACCATCTTGCTTTCTCTATTAAGAGCCATGCCTTATCAAGCATTTGAATATAAATATTGATTGGCATATGAATATGATCTCTTGACCTAATTCTTCTTTAGTCACTCGCAAACTCATTTTCACCACTTTCAAATTCCTACCCGCCAAAGATTTTTCAGCTGAATAATACATGAAACCTAGTTCCTTCAAATCCTTTTAACCCCAACATTACTACCAACCCCCTTTTATCTAGGGCTGTGCAACAAGCGGGACGGGTTGGCCCGTAAGGCTGCCCGTAGCCCGTCCCGTTTTGTCCAAAATGGGCTGGGCCAGCCCGTACCCGTTTGCAGCCCGTTTCAGCCTGTTTAAAAACGGGCTGGGCGGGCTGCAAATGGGTCTGGGCGGGCTGGCCAGCCCGTTTTGGACAAACAGCCCTCAATTTGCTTTAAAATAAAAAAATATTCTATGCTTTAAAATTCTTGTAATTCTACCTAAAAATAGTTAAAATATCACCATCATCAAAGGAAATAAACTTTAATATTAGCAGTTATATATTACAGTCATCCAAGGCACCAAGCATCATCAGTCTTCAAAATACAACATTAATCAAATCAAAGTAACCATACAAATTGACAAATGGTCTTGCCACAAGGCACAAGCAAAAAGCAATAATCCAACACAAATAATCTTGTCACAACTCACAAGCCAACAAGGCAACAAAACAATCCATCACATATTTAATCTTGCATTGGATCATCGTCGTCGTCATCGTCATCTTCAGAATCACTAGAGATGGTTGAACGTTGAGCCCCTGATTCTTCCTCTACAAAACAAATTAAGAAAATTATATTCATTAATATTTGAACAATGTAAAGTAATATAAAGTGAAAATGTTAATGAAATTACCAATAATAAGATTGTCAGACTCATCAAAATTATCAACATCAAGCTCTTTCAATTTGAAAGTAGGTTGAGAAAGCCAACTTTGAGCACAAATGAGTGCCTCCACCATTTTTGCAGAGAGGGAGCTCCTAAAAGTATCCAGTACTCGACCTCCCGTACTAAAAGCAGATTCTGAAGAGACAGTAGAGACAGGTGAAGCTAACACATCACGTGCAATCAAACTCAAGACCTTATACTTGAAAGCATTCACTTTCCACCAAGCTAAAACATCAAACTTTAGATCACGAGAAGCAACTAACTCAGCGTGAAGACATTCATCCACCTCTGAATTTTTTTCCTCTTGGCGTTCAATGCTTGCAATTGTATAGAATTGTCTCATTGTTTCATCATCCATGACCGCCAAAACATCATCATCGGGAATTGAATCTTGATTCTCCCCAACATTGTCATCACCGTGTTCTGCTCTTGCTTGAGATTGAGAAGCTTCACTATCAAAGACATCCTTTGAATATTCACCATATAAGCTATACAAGACATCCATGATATTTTTTGTAACCAGCTCACGTTGTATAGGCTCAGAATACATATTTTCCAAAGCAACTTGGACATATTTAAATTTGTATCTAGGGTCTAGTATCACTGCTATCACCAACAATGGATTCATGCTATCTGCCTTACCCCAGTATTTATCCAACTTACTTTGCATTCTTCTCACCATGTCACCCAATAGAGCATTAGAATTAGTTGCACTTGTCTTAAGCTTAGTTTGCATTGCAACTATTTGCTGGAAACATGTGTTAGATGTCACAAAATTTGATGCAGAAAACTTCAATGTCATGGAGTAAAATAGCTTCAAAAAGACTATAAACTCTTTTGCAACACCCCAATCATATGGACTAGGAGGTTCTTCTTCAACTTTCTTTTTAAAGTATTCATTGTAATCTTCATCTTCTTCTTTCATCCGATTAAAAACTTTAATGAACTTCACAGCATTTTCTAACATCAGATATGTTGAATTCCACCTAACAACATAAAAAAAGCTCGATTAATATTAGAAAAATAAATATAAATTAACAATTCATAACAATAATTAAAATTACCTAGTGGGACAATCCATACTAAGTAGACTTTTTGAATCAATTCTTTGCTTTCCCATGAGCTCCTTGAATCTACGTAGCCTAGCCGGAGAAGATCTAACAAATTTTATTGCATGCCGAATGAGTTCAATGGACTTATTCATCTCTTTCAATCCTTCAGAGACAATCAAATTCAAAATATGAGCAGCACACCGCATATGCATATACTCTCCATCACATATAAGGCCATTCTATTCCCTCAAATGTTTTTTTAAATATGCAATTGCAGTGTCATTGGAAGAAGCATTGCCAACTGTAATTATAAATACTTTGTCAATACCCCAACTAAATAAACATCCCTCAATTTCCTTCCCGATGGTATCTCCTTTGTGGTTTTCAATTACAGAAAAATTCAAAATCCGCTTTTGTAATGTCCAATTCTCATCAACCCAGTGAGCAGTCAAACACATGTAGTTGGCATTTTGGATTAAATTCCAACAATCTGTGGTAAGGGACACACGAACTTTAAATTTCTTAAAATATTTCTTTAGATGTCTTGCTTCTTCAAGATATAACTTGTAACAATCCCTAGCAACTGTCCATCGTGAAGGGATTTGAAATCTAGGCTCAAGTCCGTGCAATAGTTCTTTAAAACCCTCCCCTTCCACAGCTCGAAAAGGCATCTCATCTTTTACAATAAATTTAGCAAGATCCTTCCTGCACCTCTCTTGATTGAACAATTGTGTAGACATTGTTTGGCTACAAGTAACAGAGAATAAAGATTGTGTCATCTTGTTGGCTTTGTTTGGATTCTTTGGGCACTTTTCAAAATGCCGCCAAAGTGCTTTAGTCCCATAGTTCGAAGGATGACTCGCATAATCCATGCCACAATAATTGCATTTGGCATGGTGCTTCCCTTTAGTTTGCTCAAGTGGCATCCTTGTAAAATGCTTCCAAGCTTCAGATCTTTGCTTCTTCCTTTTCCTAGCCGGTGCTTGTTTTTGTCCCTTATTATTTGTGGCATTCTCTACTCGAGTAGTGGGACTGTGTGATGTTGCAGTAGCCTTAGTTTCAATATCACCTTCTTCCATATTTGCTTTAAGGGTTTGAGTGTTGCTCATCCTTTTAAATTCTAAAAAATTAGGAAGGTACAATTATTCCAATCAAGCAGCCACATAATTTCATACTACAAAAAAAATCACATAATTTTAATTTTCAAGCATAATTTCAGTCAAGCAATGTATTTATACATGTTCCCACCAATGTGGAGATCTTTACATTATGAAATAGTTCAATATATTCAAAAGTAAGTTAATTAACTTATGCATCCATTCTTTTGTGGGATTCTCATGGAATCTAATGCTTCTTTACAAGCTGGTTACAGACTTACAGGCACATCGACACTGCTTGGGAATATGGCGTTCAAGAAATTAATTAACTACAACAGGTTGGACACGCAAGCAACACTGGAAATTGGAAAAGAAGGATTTGTTTGTCACCTCTAAACTCTGTTAATGAAATCTATTGGTGGCATATCCAATTCAGTTAAACTAATTCACAACTAAGAGCAAAGGCAGAGTCGCTGAGTCAAATAATCATCACTATAATGTTAATAACTTACTTGGTCTTAGCTTGGCAGGAAGACACGCACAAGATTGAATCAGGGAGTGAGCAAGCCAGCGAGGCAGCAAGATATTGTGACTAAGCGACTGAGCAAGATTAATTATATCATACACAAATATCATATAAGAACGAAATTACAAGTAATTAATATAGATTAGTGATTAATCATACTTGGAAGATATTTCTAAAAAGCACGGTAGCGACTGTGAGAAAGAAGAATCCTTCGAAAGGAATTCTCAAAAGCTTACCCCACAGCCTTGTGGCCCAGAATCCTTGGAAACACTCCAGAAGACAAGTTTCCTTTACGACTGTGAGAATGCGAGATTGGAGCTGTGGAGGTATGCGACTATGTCTATGAGTCTGCCCGAGTGCCCTCTGCCGCTCTGCATTTACAAGTTTGGCTGTCTGAGTGAAGCTGCAGCTGCCTGGTCTGCCGTCTGCGAGAAAGAAGAATCCTTCGGAAGGAATTCTCAGAAGCTTACCCCATAGCCTCGTGGCCCAGAATCCTTGGAAACACTCCAGAAGACAAGTTTGCTCTACGACTGTGAGAATGCGTGATTAGAGCTGTGGAGGTATGCGACTATGTCTATGAGTCTGCCCGATTGCCCTCTGCTGCTCTGCGTTTACGAGTCTGGCTATCTGAGTGAAGCTGCGGCTGCCTGGTCTGCCGTCTGCGTGCGATGATTTGCGATTGTGAGGGAGAGGGACCGAGTCCGAGGGTTTTGATTTCAGCAGGCAGGAAATGGTATTTGAAAAACCGCAGAAGGCAAAACGCAGCGTGCCAAGTGCCAGCGTCCTGTTTCACTGTTTACTCTTCCAGTATTTTAATAAAAAATAATTTGCAAATTTTTTTTAATTATTACGGGATAGGACGGGTTGCCCGGTGGCTAACCCGTAGCCCGTCCCGCCCGTATATCTTATTAACGGGCTAGCCCGTAATTTCAACCCGCCCGTTTTTTTGTTAAATGGGCGGGTTTTTACCCGCTCATTTTTAACGGGTACAAGCGGGCCGTGCGGGTAGCGGGTTGCTTGCTCAGCCCTACTTTTATCCTATACAATCATAGAAAGAAAGGAAACAAAAAGGAAAAGAACCCAAGAATCTAACTATTCAATCATCAATACAATCCTAAATGTCACAATTTAAAAGGAGGCATCACAAGGAATCAACAAAATAAACATGATTTTCTCCTCCTGTGGTACTAGGTTTTGGATCAAACATAAACTCGGACGAATAGATCTAGCATTTCCAGGTTAATAAACAGAGTGCATTGAATTCTGTCCTTAAATAGAGTGCTATGAACACCATGAGTTTTGCCTAGAAATAGAGAAAGAGAGAAGCATTGTGAACTCAGAAATCAAACCTTTTCAAGTTAGCTTTTCTTGGTTTTAGATAAGATTATCAGATTTTAGACAAGATTATCAAAGAAGAATGAGGAAGCAAATAGACCCTAGACCCAAATTTGAAAAATTCAAGCCATGAGACCGAGGCATTTGTTGGTGAGCTGGTTGAGATGAGGATGTTGATGATTTGAAACTCATAGGATCATCATCAAGCAAGGAACTCCAACACAGACCCAAATCGATCTCTTGGCAGTGAAGTGCCTACTTTGCATACTCTGATGAGGAGGTCGAGGAAGAAAGGGTGTTGGTTGGAATTGGGACGGATAGAGAAAGTAAGCGGGATATGCCATGTGGTTTTTAAAAAAATATTAAAAAATATTTTATTATAAAAAATTATTAAAATGCCAAAATTATGGGGCCTATGGTCAACCAAAAGCCTACACATCAACACACTAATGGTAGAGTAGATGTAGATGAATGATAGGGTAATAGAAAAGAAAATCTTTAAGGTTGAGGAATAAAATTAATCTATAGTTAAATTTAGGGTTATTTGTAAACTTTCGCGTACACTTTAAAGGCAAAAATGATCATTAACCCTAGAATAAATAATTTATAAAATTTACACATATTATGATTTAATTGAAAATAAATACCTTAAATATATAAGGTTAATTAAGTAAATAAGTCTTTCCCTTTTCAAAAATACCCTTAATAAATAAAGCATTCAACTCTTCATCTTTAATTAGTCATCTTATTAAATAAGGAAAATATGGAAAGATGGTTAGTTTAAAGAAAATTAACTAATTTATTGGAGTGTAATTTAGTTAAAACTTAAAAATGCCTTAGGACGAAATAATTTTTAATGCTATGTGTGTTTGAAAATTTATAATAAATACTAAGAAGTGAAACCAACTTAGGTTCTATATATATATATATATATATATTCATATGTAACAATAAATTATTTTTTTCCTAATTATGGAGAATTGTGACTCCCTTCTGTTATGCTTGGTCTAGTTCATTTAGGATATGTTTGGTTCGAGGGAAGGGGAAGGAATGGGAGGGATTTTAATAGAAAGGGGGAGAGGATTTTAATATTATCTTGTTTGATTCAGAAGGGGAGGGGAGGAAAAATAATTATATATAGATAATTTTACCCTTATATTCTTAAAATTGTTTTTCCTAATAAAATATAATTATAAATGTTTTTAACATGTAATTATAAATATATATAATAATTATCATTGTTAAATATATTATTAAAAATCTGCATTTATTAAACTTGTTTAAAAAGATACAATAGCAATTAAAAGAAGGGGCATTTTGATCATTATATAATAAAATTATACCCCTCCCATGTCAATCCCCCTATTTGGAGGGGAGGGGAGGAGATTTTTAAAATTTTTCCTTTGTTCCCTTCCATTTTTTTTTCAAACTAAATAAAGAGGAGGGGTCCCCTCATTTGGTTTGAAAAAATAGAGGGGACGAGAGGGGAATTTTAAAAAAATCTCCCCTCTTTTCCCTTCCAAACCCTCTTCTCCAAGTTGGGGGATTGGGAGGGAAGGGATAAAATTTTTCATACCCTAACCAACATGCCCTCCATGATAAGTTCAAAAAATACAAATACATTTCTCCAATACCTAAACACTAATAAAATGAGGATAAAATTGTTTATATGTAATTATTTTTCTTTCTCTCCCCTCCTAAACCAAACAATGTAATATCAAACCCCTTCCCTCCCCTCCATTAAAATCCCTCCCCTTCCCTCCCTCAAACCAAACACATTCTAAAACTAAATTAAGCATTAGGCTATAATGAGACTTATGTGTTTTGGAGATCAAAAGCACCATACTTCTTTATAAGCTGAAACACACATGGGTAAGCATGGAATTAAGCATAGATTGAATTTTGCATTCATTGTAATGTGAAATATGCTTGACTCACTTTTGAAAACAAGGTTGATTTGGCTTGTTTAAGCTTAAGGCTCTCTAAGTTAGACTCAAAAAAGTTTTTGAGTACTGGAACCCATTCAAGTGTGGTTTAATCTTGAGTTACGTGTGGATTACATCTTAAGCACACTTTGAGTTGACACTAAGGGACAATTTAAGCATGTACAACTAAGTTACTCAAGTATAAATTAGATCACAAAAGTATGTCCAAGACACTTGCCTACACTGTCAGCCAAAACACATATCGACCCTTTCTGCATCAAGCGCGGATTGCATCACAGTGTTGAGCTTCAATTCTTAAGTCTAATTCAAATGAGTTTCAATTTCAACATAAGCTTGAATTGGACTCACTAAGGTTAAAACACATGTGTGACCATTCTCATTAAAGCTCAAACATACGCATGACCATTTAGTTTTAACATAAGCTTGAATTAGACTTACTAAGGCTGAAACACACATGTGACCATTCTCATACCCATGTATATGAGGGGCATTATGGAATAGAACTTCTAAAAGCTATAACTTACTCAATATAACTCCAAGTTTAGCAAATTATATATTATTGAAAAGCCCTTGAAGTATAGTTTTCAATAAAATAAGGTTCATAATTAAATTCAATGTATTTTTTGATATATGATTAAAAATAGTGATCAAATTTCAAAAATAACTAATACGCAGAATCAATATCCCATCACTCAAATTCTAAAAGTCATATATTTCTCAATGAAATACCATTTTGAATAAATTAACTATCATTGAAAGATGTTGGAGTATATTTTCAAATGAGATATATTTCACATTAAAAGAATTTATATAATGAGAGATATGACTAAAAATGTGACCAAAGGTCAAATTTTATTTTCTGCATAATTCTCATTTCAAAGCTTAAACTTCAAGTATTCATAACTTTTTCAACTTAACTTTATTTTGAGTAAATAGAAAATAAATTTGAAAATCTTATGGAGTTAGTATCAAAACATTTTAAAGCTTGTGAGATATATATATATATATGATCAAAGATAAAAAGCATGATTATAGAAAATTATATCTCACTATTTCTTTAAATAATTGAAATACATGTTTTGATTTAAAATATCTTGAGCTAATATTGTATATATAATATATCAATAAGTTTAACATACAGATTCTAGCATAAGAATATTATACCTATCAATTCC